CAACACCATAATTTTTTGAAAGGAAGGAAAGAATAGTCTTCATTTTTTCTTTCCTCTGAGCATGGGCTGAAAAATAAAAAAATCCTGCTCAGAAGGTATTACTTTCACAAGAAGCCTTCAAGAAATACCACTTATTCCTAAAAATAGGCTTAAAATATCAGGAATATTGTGAAGATATTTTTAATAGATTTTTAATCCTAAAATATCTAGTCTAACATTGAATAAGAATTAGAGGAAAACATATGTATTTCTGGAATTGCTGTGTTTTATTAAAAAATGGATTTCTTTTTTTTAGTAATCTTGAAGGCCCAGAAAAGTGAGTGAAAATCCCTCTTTCTGCTTCATTCTGTGATTCAATACTGGCCTCTGACTGCTTAATGCCTTATTCATTCCTCATTTTCTGGGCAGATCACTAGTTTGTGAAGATAATTAGAAACCCCTGCTATTCCTTCTAAGCCTTGAATTTTGAGGCTAATTAAATGGAGTGCTGCACATATGTAGGCAGCTGACAAAGGCTTGCAGCAAGGCATCAGGAATCAGAGAATTTGTATAACAGAAGGAAAAAGTAGGTGTATATGCTAAGACAGACTTGCCTACAGTCCTCACTGTATTCTGCTCAATTTGAGTAACACTCAAAATACTGTTTTAAATATATATTATCCTCATGTCTTTCCGGGTAGCTAGCACAAAAGGTCCAATATCTAAATCTGAAGTAAAGCTGGCTAGTTCTTCATCCTAAGACCGTTTTTATCCTCCTTTCCTTGAGGTGCTGGTCTTAAAATGTAAAACACTGTGGTCAAGAGAATACACCTCAGAGCACAGTGTGTGTTAACACAAAGCAGGGAGACTACACAGCTTATTCCTGCTGCTCTCCAGCTACTGCTTTTCTCTTCCATTTTTGTTTGTTTCAGCATATAGATAGCATAGAAACAGCACCGGACTTTTTCTTAAAGATCTTCAAAGCTTTTATCTTTGGAGTAAACTACAGGAAGTAGTAATAGTTTTAGCTCATTCTTCTCGCTGTTGTTACCGTTTTTGTTGTGTGTGTGTGGTTCTTTTTCTGTTTCAAACAAACGTTGTAACTTTAATTCAATTTGGGAAAAGCCAATGTCCATCAACAAAGCAAGGAAAACTACTGACACTGATTTCACAGCCTGTGATGAGAGTATCCTGGAGATGCTCACATTACAATATAGTAAGTGTAAGATAACTATGTTCAGGGGTCAGATGCCCAAAGTTAGATTTGATATTTCCAGGCTTATCTAAATGAACTTGGTTTGAGTCATTGCTCTAGCTAAATTTGAGTATTCTAGGCAAGGTAAAAGCACATAGACAAAGGAGACTGAGGTAGTCTCAGTTCAGAGACTGTATTCCACATATTTTCTTAGGAGTTTGAAAGTCTAGGATTGATTGGGGACAATTCTGAGGGTGAGGATGCAGTATTGCATTTTCCATGTGTCAAATGATTGCCAAAGCCACTTAGTTGTTAAATAAAGCAAACTGCCACATTCTTTGGGGGGGGGGAAAAAAAAAAAGAAAAAAAGAGCTTTGCTTAGACATCTAAAAGAAGGTGGTTCACTGCTATGAATCCAGAGTGCAGAGAGGTACTTCATTCACTTACATGTATAGGCTACCCTATATGTATAGACAACTTTCTGCTCAGCATACGAGTACTATTCTTAGACATAACTCTCTCCTTTTCACTGCATACAGAAAATAGGTGACTGCTTCAAGTGGGGTATGTCCAACAGAAGTAATAATAGCAGGGGGCTTTGTTCCTGGTGTAGCTAATGGAGAAAGATCTAACGGGGCTTCTCTGCTGTAAATCTCTAAATCACTCTCTGCTGCAGTGCCTACCTTTCACCATCACTTCTATACAGAGTTTAGTGTTTGTAATCTCTTCCAAATATTAAGAGCTTATGTACCTTTGCTAGTATTGAATTTAACTACTCATCCTTGTTGGCTGTGCATGACCTTGGTAATTGAATAGCAGACCATGAATCCATAACCGGAACATAGACTCCCTGAATAGCCCACTATTTGAATTAATTGCATTAACAGACTTCATTTAGACGGATTTGATAATGTTTTTACAAGATTTAGAAAGGATTTCGTTAGGATTACATGATGTGCGATTCTGAGTGTGCTTAACTCTTCACATAGGACTCTCTAGGCAACCATGTAATAGATCATGTCACCTCCTACTTATTCTTTTCCGAGACCGATAGGCCACAAACTGAAGCACCAAAAGTTCCACGGGAACTTAAGGAAAAATGTCTTGACAGTGAGAGTGACAGAGCCCTGGAACAGGCTGCCAAGATGTTGTGGAGTCTCCTTCTCTGGAGATCTTCAAAACCCGCTTGGATGCAGCCCTGTGCCACGTGCTCTAGGTGACCCTGTGTGTGCAGGGGGGTTGGACTCGATGACCTCTAAGGTCCCTTCCAACCTTAACCATTCTGTAATTTCGTGATTCTATGATTTTGTGACCATATGGGCAAGATCTTTGCAGTTCACTGAGTACTTTCATCAGTATGAAGAAGAAAAGCTACTTCAGTGCTGACATGTTTCTTTTGACCACTGGATAAGAAGAACAGGGTATGTTTGTATTCTGCACGTTTCTGTTCTGTTGCCTTCTGAGAAATAAAAATCTAGTATTGGGTTAAATGCCCCAATTAGGTTCATCAATTTTTGGCATGTGATACTGTTTTTTTGCCAATTGCCTATCCAAAGATTTGTCAATTTCAACATATGTATTTAAACTGTGTAACAATATTGTAGGAATATCTCATTAATCCAAAGGAGAGAATGCATATCAAACACAGAATTAAAGCAAATGGATGTTGGTAGTTCTACACTTGCAAAATAATCACAATAATTTTATGTCAAATGTCCTGCAGCAAGAGCTGATACAAGAAGGCAGAGAAGTAGGTTTTCAGTACAAGCTTTGGAAAGCAGAACCAAAAAAAAAAATAAAAAAAAGATATTTAAGTTTTCCATAGCTTTCAAAATTTTTAAAATAAATGTTCAAATCTCTTTTTCTCTAATGAGATCATAACTGCAATAATATATACAATATGTCAACAAAAACATGAATGTCCAGTTCTGAGCACACTATTGTTCTACTGAACACTAATATCTCAATGTAAATATTGAAAATGCATAAAACACCCCGAAACGCCTGAGAACACCACCAGGACACATAACTGAGATTTTACCTTTCACCAAGGGTGACTTCCCATTAATTTCAATATATACTATCATAGAATCAGAATGATCTGATTCTGTTGATGTAATAGCAGACAAGTGAACAACAGTCTAATATTAAATGTCTGCTCAGGTGGGATTTATTTTCCTCTTTGTCCTTTAAATCTGAACATTTAATTACCCATAGGGGAGATTATGTCTTGTGGTCAGTGAAATTTTCAAAGTCAAAATATCGTGTGGACAACTAATGGTAGAATTATGTGCCACAAAATGTTATATACTAATAGAGAACCCTGAAAGAAATTAAACCAAAGCTTTTATTTAGTATGCAATCCATCTGCCTCCTATAAACCTTTCTACCCTTCACTATAAGGGAAGAAGTTGTCTTTAAATATTTTTCTTAATGTGAAGAAACTATTTTCTTAATGTGAAGAAACTATCATCAAACACTTTTATACAACAGTCACGAACCATGGTTTATATCCAGCTAGAGTTCAACAGGAGAGAGTACAAAACTAAAAGTGAAAGTGAGTTACTACAGAATCTTAGTGAAAACTAATTAGTTTACATGAGTGAAAAAGGGGAAAAAAAAAAACCTTTTAAAAGGTTGGTATCTGGCGTTTCAGATATACTTACACAATTAGATGCAGAATGTAGACCCAACCTGCTGCAACGCACTGCACAAATCATCTACTGAAGGATGTCCAGTTATAAGCCATATTATGAAATGCATTGTATTTGATAACCAACAGGAACTACTCTTACCGCTGCAGGTATGATTCATATGTGAATGAATCCACACGAGTTATGCACACATTACTATCTAGCTATTTATTCACTGCCTTGCAGGGCATAAATGTTGACTTCAAAGGAAATGGGAAGCATTTTACTCTGCCCTGAACAGGCCTAAATGTTCAGCTTGCCAGAAGTCTGGATATGATATGTGCAGTCTTCTGTGTGATCATCTTGCAAGAAGGAGCTGTGAAATGACAGATACTCCTAGAGGTGGACATTAGGAAACTGGGTCTTACGTTCTATCTGCAAATGCCAGCGCCCTCTAATTTCTTAAAGCTTACTACTTTACTATTCTTACCTCAAATGCTGCAGTGAAAACAATCTTTTCCTTGTGTAAACAGGCGCAGATGACCTTGAAAACTTATTTTTTATCTACTAAGGCTGAACTTTCAATTGTGCACGAAGTGAGTCTCACAAAATGCTGTCCTTGGCCAGTGTTTTTTAAACACTAAAAGGCATCTCACAGCAACTGAATTATGTATCTCAGGATACTGAAAGTTCACACTCGAGAGCAGCAGAAACAGCATGTTTTCCCTGCAGTGTTTCACAAAACAAGGCCTGCTGCTTAACGTTCACATGCTTACAGCTCCCATCCATGAGGACGGATCTCCATGCTCAGAGATCAAGCCACGATGAGCAGACCGGGTCTGGAAAAAAAAAAAAAGAAAGAAAAAAGAAAAAAAAGAAAAAAAAAAGGAAAGCTGCATGTCACCTCCCTCAGGGCAATGGGCGAGGAAAGGGCTTATCCCTCCTTGCTTCCCTCTCCTCCGCCCACGACAGGGACCCGCGGACCCCAGGTCCGCCCGGCCTCCCCGCCCCGCGGCGCGCCGCGTCCTGCGCCTTGCCCCGCGCTCGCCCCTGCCCCGGGGCGCTCACCGCGGCCGCCCGGCGGAGGCGGAGCGGCGCCCGGCCCGCCCCGGCAGCGCCGCCCCCGAAGCGAGCGGGAGAATTGAACGGGAAGCGGCGGCGGGAGAGCGGGCGCCGGGTGCTCGGCTGCGGCCATGGTGGAGGGGCCGGGCTGCGCACTGTACGCGGAGAGGCTCCGCGCCCGCGTGCGCCAGGGCCAGGCGGTGCGGAGCGCGCGGGGCAGCGCCTCGCCGGCCGCAGCCGCTGTGGGCAGCACGGTGAGGGGCTGCGCGAGGCGGCCGCGCTAGGGCAGGCTCGCGGCGGCCGTTGGCGGGGCGGGGCGGGGCAACGCACGAGGTGGGGGCCGTTAATGGGGCGGGGCGGATGTTAACGGGCGTTACGCAGACCCTGTGTGTGTTTATAACGTTGGGGGAAAATTGTACCGGGTTTGGGAAGGGAGGTGTCTTGTTGCCAGCTGTTGGGATGCTCCATCGTGGGAGCTGTTGGCTGATGCACGGGAGCGGGATCAGGGCAGGATCACTAGTGTCCTGCCATCTTCCCTTCTTCGCTCTGCGTGGCAGAGCTGTGACCGCAGCAACGGAGAGCTGGCAGCTTTGAGTTGTTTTGCTCCCTAAACTGCTGTGCCTTCAAATATTCCTGCCATCAGCATGATAAATCAGCCTTAGCAGGCTGGGTGTTTAAGGAGATGCAAGAGCTGGAGAAGCTCTTTTGTAAGTAAGGAGGGAAAACATTCAGAACTCCTTTTGTTCGCTAAAAATGGTAAATTTTGTAATACGATTTCATTTGGCTTCAGGAAAAGTATGATAGAAAATTATACTGATAGATTCTGGTTTAAATTGCTTTTCTGCTAATCAGGCCTTCAAAAGTCAGAAGGAAAGGGGGCAGAAAAAGAAACTTGGCTGCAGAAAAGGAATTTACAAAACTTTGTTTTAAAAACATCATAGTAATTAAATCAACTAAGTAACTAAATCATGCAGCATCTGCTTTCAGTGAATACCCAGGGTGTAATATCTCTACTATTTTTTTACCCTTTTTGTTGGCAGTATAAAATAATTCAGTGGAATAAAACTGCTGGGGGTTGTGAGATCTTCTGGCAGAAAAAAAAAAAAAGAACTAAGATATAAACGAGCAAGTCTAGCTAATGAGCTATGATGATCTAGTACTCTTGTTTTGATTGCAGAGTTATTGCTTGTGTCCTAAGTATATTGGGTATCTCCAAACAGAAAGTTGGCATGTTTTTATTTTTCCCCTTTCTGTATGCCAGAAAGTGTAAGTGTCCCTTAAACAAAACGTCAATTTCATAAAGGAAGAAGTTCAAGATACTTAGTTACTTTGTTTAAAAGATATGCCATGGAGAGATTGGTTCTTAAGCTTTGTGTCTTTCAGGAATTTGACCTCTAATGTGAGGAGTTGAGCTCCTGTAGTTACGTAAGGAAAATTAATTCCTCTAAATATACTTATGATCATAAGTACAATGCGGTATGGTAAAAGTCAACTTAGGGTGACTTCATTTGCTAGCACTCCTTGGATCTCAAAGACGCTGTTAACCATGGGGCAACTACTTGGCCAGTGCAAAATATCTCCATATAATATAATATGAAGTTGGCCTGAACGACATCATATTATATATTATTACATGGTAGATACATAATACATAATTTATTATATATATTATAAATACACAATATATTATTATGTATATTATAATATTACACTATAGTATACATTATAATAATATTCTGTTGTAATTTGTGTGTGTGCTCATTTTCAGACTGCTGTGAGTGGGGAGAGAACCTCTGGCCACAGTTTTCTTACAGGATGTGTTTACAGAGGTGTGGAGACTTTGGGAAAAGAACTTTTTATGTATTTTGGTCAGACAGCTTTGAGGTAAGGGGTGGGAATGAAAAATGTCCTCTATATATTTAAACAGTACATTTTCATGCTGCTTGTTCTTAGTTCTCTCTCATTTCAAGATACTTGAAAGAGAATTTTTTCTGCAGCTTGTGCTTAAGTTCTGGAAATACTGAACAGTGACTTAATTTGTTTCAGTCATTTATTCTTAGCTTAAGATCTCATGTAAATGTATGTGAAAAGGACAGTTGTTCCTTGAAATCACCGAATGGTTAAGGTTGAAGAAGAATCTAACAATGTGCAGTGTAATGGCCTATTAAAACAAAAAAGAATTGTTCTTTATGCTAACTATAACATAAATGAGGCCTTCAATAAGTAACATTTACATTTAATGTAATGATAATTATACATTATACATGTTTATAATAGTTTTATATGTTTAAAGAGAAAAAATGACATACCTGCATTCGAGGTAGTTGTTGTGACTTAGTGACTGATCTTGAAAGGTGTCAGGTCATCATTTTTCTTAGTTTAAAATTGATAACACCAGCATCTTACAGTTTATTGCTATATTTCCAGCATCAGTGCTGTTGTGGGAGAGTGATGGGACATAAAATGCTTGGCTGAGAATAGAATAGTTTACAGCAGTTGCACTCTGGATCAGTAAAGGCAGAGAAAAATTGGTAATTACATGCAATGATATGTAGGCTGATCTCTGGCGGCTGGGGGATGCTCGTTATCTGATACAGATGCTTATTTTGCAAAGTGTTAAGAGAAATGAAACTTCAGGAGTTGATTTAGAGAAAGCATACACATCTAACTTTAATACAAGGAGCAATCCTTGAAAAGGTTCATCTTTTATTTACAATAAAAAGTAATGAAGGATAGAATTAGTAAGATAAAAACAAAATCCCCAAATCTGATATATGACTGTATTAAAAGTCTCTAGGAATGCAAGCAAATTTTACACACTGTTAAAATAGTCCCAGCTCCCCCAGATGTCCCCTCTGTGTTTATTGGCACATCAGTTGTAACATTTGAAAAGATTCTTCCATCAAAAGTCTTAAGGCACAATGGTTGAAGAAACCAAGATTGTCTTACAGATGAATATAGTGCAACTTTAGGATGTTTAGCTCTTCTTACTGAAGAATAGTATCTATAGGAAAAAAAGGTAGCAAGCACAACAATTCCCACTATTCCCATACAGTTCAGTAGTGGGATCAGACGAAGTGTCTGTGACAGTTAAGTGCAAAGAAATTGGGTGTCCCCAGGGAACTTAGCTGGGCATCATCAAGCTAATTGATGAAAAATTATATAGTCAAATATAAATATTTGACTAAAACCATCTAAAATATATAAGTATACATCTAATCTAAAATGTGCTAATAGTGGAAATACATTGTTTTTATTTTTAACCTTAATTTAAGATAGAATTATAGGTTATTATATTGAAGGTGGCAGTTTGAGCTTAACGACTAACAATACTTCACAAAACAGCATGATTTCTCATGGAGTTACAAGGTGCAGAGAAATTACCCGAAGATGATTCCTTTTTTAAATGACTGTATTACAAATGAATTGGATAAGCAAAGGAATAAGCGAAGGAACAAACTGTACAATAAGAAGACATTTTCAGTGAACGTAACTGCTTAAGATATATGACATTTTTCATGAGAAGGGTTACTGCTGTACAGATTCTAAATCTATATATTTTTTCTAATATAACAAAAACAGCTGGTTTTGTCTGCTAAGGTTTCTTCTAAATCCTGGTAGTGATACTGAAATGTTAGACAAACCTAGGTGGCATGTCTTCTGAGAGCATGGCTCTGAGAGCCGTGCAAGGTAATCAGCTCCTTTTATGCTCTTGGATTTTTCTCAACTGGGAAATGATTGCCTGGTGGAAGAAGACCATGGCCATGAAGTCCATTTATAGAGTATGGTTAGTATTTGCCTGATTTTAAAGTGAGGCATGCTTCTCAGATATTGCCATATTACAGGTAGCAATTAGCCAATGAAGGAAATCTAGGTCAGTATATTTACTATGTACAAATTGACAAAGTGGTCAGTTAATTATGTTTAAAGAGAAATGACTCATGAAGAACTTTTACCACCAGTGCTGTTACTTTGAGATATACCCACTTACATCAAAGTCACCCCAAAAAAGTAAAGTTTTAGGGAAATAGGAGAGTAGCAGTGACTGTACAACGCCTAGTTTCTGTAGTGGGCTATTGATATAAATTTGCAGTGATAATAGTGTGTGGCTGTAAATATAAAAACTTGCTTTTTTTTCCCCTTTACATAAACATCAAGTTGTTCTACTAGTTGTCATTGAATATCAAGTCTATGTTTAATTAGAGTATCTTTTGCAATTGTAGTTAAAATGAGGAGAGCTCCATTCTATCTCATTCTAGCCCATAAAAGGTCATGAAACACACAAGTGAAATTCTGTAAAGTTTTTAAGGCTTTGTAGTGTTAAAGGGAATTATGCATAAAGATAATTGTGAATTATTTTCCTAGTCGTGAACTAGATATGTAGCTATGACAATTAATAGCTGTGACTTTTAATGCTCCTTTTAGACAGAAGCTTGGTAAATGAAAAGATCAGCTATTAATATGCATGCTGTTTCCGTAAGACAAACTTGCAGGAAACATTTAGTGCATTTCTAGTTGATAGCTGTACGCAAGTGTAGAAAGTTTATTTAAAAAAGGAGGCTGTAGGGGGCTACTGAGGCATACCTAGCCCTATGCAGGGAAGTTGATGTTTGGAAATGTCTAATGGAAACCAAAGCTACCAAAATAGCTATATTATCTGAACTGAGCTGTAAGGAAAAAACTTTTGAAATACATAGCTTTCTGACCATTGAAGAAATATAATGAATAAATTCTTTTAGGAAGTTGCATAAAGAGCTGCCTTAAGATTGTACTTTGTGAAGTGTTGTATTTATCTAGTAGTAAATATTTGTATGTGTCCATCCTTCCTGATATGCATCAAAGACTTAAACGAAATGGACACATGATACTGAATTTCTTTGATCACATTTCTTTGATCTAGTGATTCTTTCTATATCTAGAAAATAATTAACCTTTTCTGATATAAGTTGTTTTTCATTTAAGAGGTATAGAACCCTCCATTCTTCTTTCTGCTTTTTAGGAGCTGAATGTATCAAGTAAGTGTGTAATAAATACAAAAATAAAAAAGATGGGACAAAAATCAATATCGTCTTTTGCTGAAGTACACTGGCTCAGTAGAACACATTTTAAAATACAAAACCTTAAACCATTGATGATTTGTAAAAGGACTGCTTGAAAGCGTTTGTTCCATTTCTTTGCCATCTGTGTATTTTCACTTTATTTCTTTTATTAATTTTTAATTGATCTGCATTTTTTGCCTTGATTGTAGGCAAAGAAAAGCAGAAAACAACATATGGCAGTTGTTAATTATGTTGTTTATAGCATTACTGAAAGTAGCTTTGATATGATAACAGGGTTGGCACCATGAGGATAGAAATACTTCCTTTCATATTTGATGACTTTTGCTTGTTATAACAGAAAACTAGTGGTGAAGTAGTCTATCATTTCTTTCAGCTTCCCTAGGGAGCTTTAGAATTTTTCACTGGAAATGCCAATCTTCCAGCAAACATTGTAAGTGAGATAGACCAGGACTGTGTGTGCTATTTAATGATCAGTTTTGACATTTACATAATAAATTATGAAGACTAGCTGCAAATTGCTGCATTCTGGAGTATTTCTAACTTGAAACAGAAATGGTTCTTCCCTTGGAACTGCACACAGATATGAACGAGTCATGCTGCTGTACTGCTGTTAATGACTAGAACTGATGCACACAAGTACTGACTTGGTTAGATCAGAATAGTACACAACGCTAATAGACTACGCTAATGCTTGGAAGCAGCGTTCAAGTAAATACCCCTAAGAACCTTTTTTTTTTTTTTTTTCCCCTTTCCCTCCCATCCACCAGGGTTCACTTTGGTATGAATGGTTCCATGTGCATTAATCGTGATGACAGCAAAGACAGAAATGGAGCACCACCAGTTTTGGAGATACAGTTAACAGAGGATACGGTTTGTTTTTTTGAGGCAACAGTGGAGTATAGGTAAAGTAAAAATCATTGAAATTAAATAAAAGCACAGCATCGTTTATATTTTTTCTTTTATAGCTATATGATTTTCACTATGTTATTAACGGATTTTTTTGAAGTGCTTAGATTACCGTTGTAGAAACAAAGATGCGTAGTAAAACTTCACAAACATACCATGTTTATAGTTATGGAAGTCTAATATCTGTTACTTTTTGTAGCAGTTTATATATGAGCTACAGGGATAAAGCAGTTGAATGCAATAACTCTTTAAATAGTGTCAAGACTGAGAATTAAATTTGGATTGAATTCTATCCTCTGTTTTGACTGCTGAAACCTCATTACTCCTTCAATTTGCATTCAAGTCTCAGTTTCTTAACACAAATAAGAATGTAAGGGTCTTCATATATGACAGTTACTGGCTTTAAATTTTATGCCCCTAAGTTGTGTCTCTACTTTTGTTTTCTTTTTGAAAGCAAATTGGTGCAACTGTTCTAATTAACATTAACTTGATGGATTCATCCATCAGCACTCTACTTCTTCTACTGCTGATAAAACTAATAGCAAACTTGATTTTAAAGCATTTGAGGCCCTTGGATGAAAGGGATTTTGTAAATTAACAATTAATTTATGTTTCTAGAATTAATGTTACAAAATATAACAGCTTATGTAATTCTGAGACTTCTTGCACTTTTGATACTTCATGGTTCAACTTAGAGTTAAGCTTAACCTAATAAAATCAATTTTAATAGAATCTACTTTTCATTGTCATGTTGAAACCATTGGACCATGTGCTCTGATAGTTGTGGCTGATGGTCCCAAAATATGGTATTTCCACACTGAAAACTATTTTAAGAGAAGGACCTGGCAATTATTTCTTCAAGCTAACATGAACAAAGAGATGATTTCTTGTACGTAGGGCCAGATGCTTGCATGATCCAAGCATGTTGAGCTGTTTTGGGTTTTTTTTTCAAGATTTTTTTTTAATACACCTTTGCCTGTGATTGGTTTGTTCTCTCTGCATTAATGTACCATCATATCTTAAAACATTGTTTTTAAAACCATATTGATAAAATAGCATGTAATTCAAATAAAAAAAAATACTCTCTTACTGTATCTTCCCTTCCAGAAATGCAGCTGAAAGTGAGCAGAAAGTGAGAATGATGGAAAGCTTGGATATCTGCTCTCCAAAATTTAGCAGCTTAAGAGCAGCAAGTGAGATCAAGCAGCAGAAAACCCGCATGTTGTGTGATGTGTTACTGGATCAAGCAGTGTTACCTGGAGTGGGAAATATCATAAAAAATGAAGCACTATTTGACAGTGGCCTGCATCCAGCTGTTAAAGTGAGTGAAATGTCTCGAGATTGTTTTTGATGATATCAAGTATTAGAAGTGTAAATATATACTTGTATAATGTTTTGTCGTCTTTTAAGCCTTCTTCTTTTTAATTTCTTATTTCTGATGTTCTAAGACCTTAAGCTCATGTTTATAATATGAATTCTAATTCTAATAATTCTAATTATATTCATATTATAATAATAAATATAATAAGATTGAGATCTTATGAAGTGGAGTTTGAAAACTCCTCAAGGATCGAGGTTCCATAGCCCCCTGGGCAAATCACTTCAGTTATACACACATAGGTGTTAATCAAAATGCAATGGGGTAGGTTAACTGTGTGAGCTGGCAGAGGAAAACAGAAGTTGGGATTTTGATATTCTTAGCAAAACTGTGTATTCTTGATGCATCTCTCAAACTGTGCTATCTTTGGTGCAAGTCTTCTTGAAGATCTCTCATAGGAAAGAGCCTATCTGATGATAGTTAAGCCTATGTCATAAAATCTCCTAAGACACCAAGAGGCATCAAAGAGTTAATTCTATGATATTAAAATTTATTTTAGTTTCTTTTGATCAGGAGCTCTTGAACTGATCAAAAGACCACTGAAACTTTTTATCTAGTTTGTCTTTCAGGGTGAAGCAAAGTATGCTATTTAATATTCATACAATGAATTTGCAGTAAAAATATACTGAGGTTGAGTAAATGATACTATTTTACTGAGATAAAATGTGTAATTAGAGAATCCTTCATAACAGCAAGTAACGTGGTTCCATATTGGCTGAAGATGTCTGAATGGCCACTTACAGGTTTTCTTGCTCTTGCTGTTTAGCATATTAATACTATACTAATGGTGCCTGTCTTATTCAAAGGTTTGCCAACTAACAGATAAGCAGATACGCCACTTGGTGAAAATGACACGTGACTTTGCCCTCCTTTTTTATAAGGTAAGGCTTTGTGTTTCTGAGAACACCCCAAAACTTGCCTCCAGCATGTTTTTAGCTTTATATAACCTTCTGGTGGAAACAGTAAAAAGATGCAACAAGACAAATAGTTCACCGAGTAAGAATTTTAGTTTGGGTGCTAGTGTGAACTGTCAAATGAGGAAGAGGTGGTGATGTCCAGCCTCCCATAAAGAACCTTAGTTTGGTTGCAGCAGGTGAGTTTGAGACCATGTTGCCCGGCAAGCGAGTTCAGTTCTGCTGTGCATGTGCTCTAAAGTCACTCTGAGCATGTCAGAATTGAGCTACCCTGAGCATATGCTTACAGGCGACATGCTTGCACCGTAAAGATCATCTTTCATCAGGAAACTAGAAATTGCCTTGGAAGCATGAAGGTTAACATGGCTTAATTTATGAAACTTTGAAATAGTAAATTTTTTGATTAATAGATTGTAACATCTAACAATTGGCTTTTAACTTCTAACAGGGTTAATTTTGTATAGTTCACAGAAGGGAGTGTGCCCAAGTATAGAAGATAAGAGCTTTAAACTGATTTTGAAAAGTAATTTGCAGGAGTGTGCAGAGTGTCCTGGTGAGATGTTTGGCAGCCAAGTGTAGCAAACGAGTAGATTGCTGAGAGTCCTGTCAAGATATTATTAATCATGGGGAAAAGCCTTCTAGCAGAATCCTTCTCTATCTTTCTTGTAATGAGTTGGATCTTGAGACGTCTGAAAACTTTTTGATTTCTAGAAGGAAGTTCAAGGTTCTTCCAACTGCCACAACATCAGTAGCATTTGTTTTTTTTTTTTTTTTCCCTGAAAACCAGTAATTCCTGGTTCATAGTGGCAGTTGCTTTTTAACTTTAAAAATAAAGAATCTGTCCTAATTCTTGGAAGGTTTGGATTTTCTGTTTGTTTTTCTGTTTGCAGAGAACAGTGAAATGGCTCTCAATATTTGTTCATTTTCATTAATGCAAGTAGCAAGTCTTCGGTAGGTGAATAGGAATGTACTTAAGTTAATTTTCCTAATGCAGTCTTTCAGTCATGAAGACTAAAAATATAACTATTTAATAGACTACTTAAATTCCTGCTTTTCCCCCAACACACTGCAAAGCAGTTTAGTCTCCCCAGGCTACAGAAATCTCTCTCTCCAAACTTCACTCTTGTGAAAGCTACCACTAAAAAGATAACATCCAGTTCTGTATCAGCTAAAATACATGGAAGATGTAGATGTGCCACAGGTTTTAAAGTGTCAATAAACAAATAGCTTAGACTTCTGTAATGCCTTTTACTTATTTTCTGAATTTTTATAATCCATACTTACATAGTGTTTGCTATTCAAGTCTTTTTAAATGATAAACTAAGCCCCAAAGCCTCTTGCAGATAATACCATAATGAAAATAGGTTAGTAAGAGTGGTAGTACCTGATCACTGTTTATAGAATGTGTTTAAACTATAATTTTATTCTAATGATAATAGTGTATCATTATTTCAAATAAACCCTTACAGATCCAAAGATATGCAGTCTACTGATGTAAATACCCGTTACTTTTGTCTTTTAATGTACAGAGTGGTCGGAAGCTCTATGGATAAGATATTAACTCCAACCTTAAGGAGAAACCTATGAAAAAATAAAGTGCTTGTCAATTATGCAAACAAATATGAAATAGTAATTCTTTGTGGTTGGGTTACTGGATAGTGCATTGCACTTTCAAAACACAAACAGCTGTCATTCCATGAGGCTATTAGTGAGAGTGCAGCAGAAACAAATATGTTGAACTGAAAGCCACCTGTATGCTTAGTATTAATCCATGAGTCCTCAAGCATCGTGGAGCCCGTCAGAGCTGGGCTGGTTTTGCTAGGCCAGCTCTGATATAATTTGAACTGTGCTCATGGCACTGTGACGCATGCTCATGTAGCTCTCCAGGGCTGGCTTGGCTCTCCCACTTTGTTTTCTGTTTATTTTCTCACCAGTTTTATCAGGGTTATGTCCCTGCTGACTCCATGCATACACTCTCATGAAATGTGCCTGCTTGTCAGCTCTCTGGAGACTAATGAGGTCACTGTGTACTAGATTAATGCTGTGCTTACTTTATTATGACTTTCTGCTACAACCTGGGAAGCCTAGTGGTCTTCATGCATTAGCTTGCATTTGGCATAGCCTGTGCTGCGGTGGAACTGAAAACTTCAGTGGGTTCAGACTGTCTGGAATATGTCTGCACTCTGCCACTCTCCAGGCTTAGAGAAGTTTGATCAACCCATATTTTAACATCATGCCTGAGTTGGCTCTGTTTTATTTGTTAACTTTTTTTTCGGTCTTTGGTTTCAAAGACTAGTACTGAATCACAGTTAATTAATCCAGCTGGACCTATGGCATATGTTGCCTGTGCCATGCAAGTATATATTTTTTAATTTGTTCTGTTCTTTATTATCTGGAGAATTCCAGACCTCATTATCCTAGTTTTAGAGTCAACGCTCCTTATATATATGTGAAGTAGTGACAACAGCAATTATGAATATCCTTTAAATATCTTTGTGTAGTAATTCAGCTGTCAGTTTACATGTGGGAGGCCTGTTTCCTTCGTTTTACGTTAGCTTCAGTTAAAAATGAAATTTATCCTGGGTCTTTAACTTCCCTTCTGCTTGTGCTCTAGTGCCGCAAAACAGGGTCTGCACTGTACAAACACTACAAAGTATACAGGCGTGCCCGCTGCGGGCAGTGCGACGGGAACATCACTGCCTGTCGGCTGGGAGAGAACAACAGGATGACCTACTTCTGCTGCCGATGTCAGAAGGCTGATGCCCAGCTTGTCAATATTAGGTATGGCTACTGTTGAGCATAGCTGTCTTCTGAAAAGTGCTGTAACAGTGAGAGGACCTCAGTTTGCAAAAGAAGTGAATCCTTGTTTGTTTTATATTTAATGCCTCTTAACTTGCAAACACTTGCAGTTCTACATAAATTGTCCTATGTCCCAGCGCTGTGCTGGCAGCAGCCTGCTCTAACTTAAAAAAAAAAAAAAAAAAAGGCATTTGATGCCACAAGTGTCTTATTCACTCTTAAACACTTTAATTGCTCTTGAAAATCTTCATCTATGGCCTCAGAAGTTTGTTTTTATGTTTTGAGCTTTGTCAGTCTAATACATGGAGAAAATAAGATTTCCACAAGGAATCCCTATCCTGCTCCTTCTTTTAAGGCAACTATAACTCAAATGGCTGAAGATGCTTAAGATTTAGAAGTCATCTTTGAGCAGCGATCAAAGCCCAGTCAAGCATGGAAGATAAATATTTCACATGCCAATAACTCATATTTCTGAAGGGTTATAATGAGAAATGCTTTGCAGGAGGGTAAGAGTACAGCAGTGTTCCAATGAGTTTGATAACTAGAAAATGATGAAGGAAAAGTCATTTCTTCTCTCTCCCTTTTAGAAAGGTAGGTATGTGCAATTCCAAAGAAACTGGGAACAACAAAGGGAGTTTTGTTGTTTTGTTGTTTTGTTGTTTTGTTGTTTTGTTGTTTTGTTGTTTTGTTGTTTTGTTGTTTTGTTGTTTTGTTGTTTTGTTGTTTTGT